CTCAATTAATGAAAAGCAGCGTTAGGAAAAAATACTTTTACAACTGAACGTTAGATAAAAATATATGTTCCGATGAGCAAATGATAGTTGCTGCTTAAATCATAATAACTAGCAGCGTCTTTGCATCAAATTTAGTATGACTTTGGATTTTGTTATATTTGTGCTGGAGTCATGTATTAAATCAACCATTTATGGCTAGAAGAATGCTTTAAATCCCGCGTTATTCACGTTCGTATATCATTTGCAATTTTGTAGTTGAGTTTACTTCGTTTATTTTGCTTTTGCATTAAGCTTAGGATGATTCAGCGTAAGTTACATGATAGATCATAATACGCATTTCTCTTGTTTGCGCAATTATACGGAAGCATACAACGTTTGAAAAAATGTTCCTAAAATTCAACAGGTATTATGCTTACTTACGAATAATGTGGGATCAATGTTTAAGCATCGTCTAAAGTAAAATATACATCCTTTCGAATCTACCCATTACTTTGTATTTAGACTACGGCCTTCCGTTTGAAAGATTAGAAAGTACATTGACGATTTATTTCTCATTTTTCGGAACTTATTTTATTAAGCCGTCATCACTCGGTAATAATTTTGCAGTCGTGATTATGGTCAAATGTGTGGTATAATGTTATTGCACCTTATAACGTAGTAGTCAGATTTAGCCCGATATATCTAACATGTTTGCTTTCTTATGCACTTGATATTTCGAAAGATGCTCTAATATGCCAAAATGCTTTTACCATAAAATATTTCAAATTTTAAAAAGATGTGAAGAATCTGCATGCTATTAAATCTACTGATACCGAAAAACTGGGTTAAATTACGAAATAAATTATTTTGTAAATTACGTGTGAATACTGGTCTAGGAAAGAAAAATTTTGTTACGCTTCCGTCCACAACTAGGAAGGAAAACCACATGGCATAATATTTCAAATTCGATAAGCAATACATAACTAGTCATATGTTGCAGATTGTTCTCCTGTTGGTTGTAAAGCCATAAGTGTTAGATTCTCTCAGAGCTTAAATGTGTACAGTATAGCTCAATTTCTAGATGTAAGGTATTTACAGATAGGTAAGACAGAACATTTGCTACTAACATCGACATCCTCAAGTATTTATTTGTAATTCCATAGGATAAATAATAAAATCCATGTTGAAATTGTGGGTCATGGCAGTATTCTGCCTAAAATCATGTATGAGGAAATCAGCGACTGTCTCTAGATTACTCTTGCTTGGTATAGCCTTTAACAAGCGGTGATTTGTGGTTTCGGATAAATTCTTAAGTATATGCATGGTGTTGCACTCTACCATCGCTGCACTGCACAACGCATTTTGTTCTGGTATACATTCATTAGCTAGAGATATCTAGATCTGGGTGTGGAACGGCGAATGGTACTTTGCAGTTATCGCCATAATTACGTGGTAATTTTGCTCATAGTGAATCTACATCTTCTTTAATTGCGGCGGCATATTTCCGGCCTAAGTCAACAGATACCGTGTGTTAAATTGTATCTAGCATTGGAAAACAGGTGACAGAGGCTTCAAAACCCCAACATTCATAGCATAAACCTATTATTAACCGCTGTTTGCTGAGCTCAATGACCTAGTGATTATGGCAAAAGCCGAGGACCGATTTGCGCCGTTACAAACCAATATCAATTAAGCTTTTGCTGAGGAAACAAAAACGCACTAATCTGTCTGTCTTAGAGAGCAGGTTTGGATAAGAGCAAAACCAAAGGCGTCCACTTCGAATACGACTCCAGTAATCGGAACGGCAGAGGTTGATTTCAAATTTACCCGAGGTCACAAGTAATTTTATGAGTCACAAACCATGACTCACGTCAGATGAATAGATACACTAATACTTTATTCCTTGCCTAATCTGCACAGTCAGGATTAAATACATATCCTAGGCCATCGTCAAAATTAGCTAAATTGACAACGCAGTAGCATGATATTTTGACGTGCTATACTGATCTAGATTTTAGCTGATAAATTGGGGAAATTCGTGTTTGAATAAACACTTATAACAAACGTTTACTATTGTCAACCATTAACTGATCCAAGGTATGTTGGATAAAATAAAGCGTTTCTGTTCAAAACGTATTTGGCGCATACTGGTAATCATTCCGGTTGTTCCTAGTTTTATTTTAGTTTTGCACCCTATTTTGCCTTTTTATCGATGTTGGTTTTCAAACGAATACATGCTGTATTTTCACTCTGTTATCCACTACGTCGGTCTCGCAATGCACCGAGGCTGTTGTCCTGGAGGATTGGTTTCTAAGCCTATTACACTTCGTCGCAGTTCAAGCTGAAATCTCTTAATAACTGACGATTCCGACGGCATGCAGTGCGATTTCTGCATTTGAAGCTATCACCTACTTTGCATGGACCTCAACACCGGGCAGTACGCAGAGCAGGCCTCCAGCGAAGCGTTGCTTTTCTGTGGTGTCCATTACTGCACCGGCCGGCAAGGCCCTCCTGACAACCGTAAAATAGAGGAATCTCTTACTGCGAAATGTAGAGGGTCCGTTTTCGTTGCTCTTCGATATTTACTGCAATCTTGACCTGCTTATAACGACTATTTCGATCTGCAACAAAGTAGTTTTCATTACTTACAATGCAAATCAAATTGCGGCAACAATATTTGTGTCACCCCTGCAGATGGCTGCGCAGCAAAAGAATAAGACTGCTTCGGTGGTTGTATCTAACCCTACCATTATCGAGGCAGGTCGTGATCCTGCTGGACAACGTCAGAGTCGTATGGAGAATAAATAACCATTCGAATAGTTTAGTCCATCGCAAATATTGCATGAGGCGAATGCAGCAGCCTAGGCACTTAGTTTAAGCGCATCAGGCATACATAGCGTCCTAGCACTGTGCCTATGATTGCACCTATAGTCGAAAGGTACCGATCCGTGTGGTGGGCAACCTAAGGTTTCCACCACCTGATCCCAATAATGAAGTCACTTATCCACTGAAGCAATGTGTAACCAACACCAAACTTTCTAAGCATGTGAGGCAGGACCTCATGTTTCACTTTACCAAAAGCCTTACTGAAAGCAATGTAGATTATATCCACTGACTTCCCTCGATTCAACCTTTGCAACTATTCCTATCGCGCTGACAGAGAGTTAGTGATACACGAGCGGACCTTCATGAGACCGTGCTGTTCCGGAATTAGATATTTGAATTCCAGCAATTTGGAGAAAAATTATATCAGAAAAATTGGCCGGTATTTATTTACATTGTGTGGGTCGTCGCCTGTTGGATTTGGCTTCACTACTAAGCATTTCCAGTCGATCAGCAATGCACCCGCGGACATCGATCTCTTACCCAGATCCGTCACGGCAAGTCGGGTGATTGCAGCTGAGGACTTTATAATAAGTGGGTAATCTAAAATGCGTCCAGTGTGTTATGTTTAGTCGAGACTACCATGCGGATTGCGGATATATTCTACACCGCAATTTAATAACCCCAGGTCAGCAGAGGTTGCACACATCTGGCTCTGTATAAGCGCATGCCCACTAGTCAATACAGAAGCGAAATACTTCGACACTTTCATACGCAGATTTGATGCTAGTGGACCGTGACTGTCAGTAAGAGCCTTCTAACGCATCGACGGATTATGCGGGTCTCAGACGCCGCTTCACGTGCGGAAAATTATTTTTAGGGGCCGTCTTCGCTAAGGTTGCTAACTCTTTAAATGACAGACGTTTTCACGAATTTGCGCTGTTGCACAGGTTCCGCTGGCTTTCTTACACCTCATAGATGTCGACCGAGCAAGACGTGAGGAAATTATTTCAAAATGCACGCCGCTGTCAAGCTAATGAAGCATACTCACTGGCAAACAAATAAAGCTTTACTAATCAAGCTTTACTACGTTTGTTAACTACAAAACATGCGCACAACGATTACCCAACCTCTTTAATCCCAGACGAACTAGCCCTATCAATGAATGCTGCGGCAGCTACCATTCACTATTTTGGCGGCCGGATTGATACTCTTCACATCGGTCTTCCAGTTATTGTACGGATGTTCCATCGGACACAAATTAGGCAACAGCAACTCTAGACTGGCTAGCAATATTGAGTGGTCAATAGCTGCCGGAGGCTCTAGAACATTAAAGTTCATGTACACCTCACTCGTAATTCGTTAGCAGCAGGGTCAAGCCCGATAAGTCGGAATGCGAGGTAACGCACGTTGTTTCACAGCCACGATTTGTTGCCTAATTACTAATAAGGTTTCCAAAAGATCTGCATCGATTGCACAGTGCCAGGGAAGACGTCAAACCTCAAGCCACCTATATGAGGGAAGGTAAATCGTCAATAAGTAGGAAGCGGGGACAAACACATTAGTTTCTGACATGTGGCAGCCTATCTAGGCATTGTCTTCTCGAACTGCGATAAGCCGTACCAACAAAAATTTACCTTGTCTCAGGCTGACAGATTGCCTAAACTCTTCGCACAGACCATCGCTGCGGTAGAAGTGTACCAGTCTCCCGTGCAGCGGTGTTCAATTGTGTAAAATAGTCCGCCTAGATCCTTTGTAGTCTTTCGCACCGGCAGCACGAGTAGCCACCGATCTATACTTTTGGGCAGTTACCTCAGGATGTATCCAAGGTTCATGTCATGAATTTTCATTAAACTACAAACCTTTCTGAAATCTACGAGCAGGTGGTGCTGGGAACCGACTTGCGCACACTTAACGACATTAATCTCTAGCTCTGAATTCGGTGGGCCCTAAGAACTAATTAATATTTTATAATGTGATGATAAGGGTCTCAAGTATCAGCCCTCCGTTTCAAATACACGATAGCGGACTTCACTTTCCCTTCGTTATATAGATCCAAATTTTGAAACTCGGGAATAGTATTAGTAAATTCTTGATTACGCATTTAAATATACTCCTTTTCAGGGTAGAATATAAAAATTGAAGCATGTTGAAAGCTTATGTTTTAGAAAATGACACATAGCAATTCGGAATTATGTTCACTTATTGGACATGGCCAATCTGTATAATTCGACTGGAATAAGCATTTGGCCAAATCAATTTAGCTAATGCTTGCATTTTCGCACTCGGCTGTTGCTTCATTTTTCAATGATCCGCTTGCCGACGCCAGCCAGAGCAAACGCTCCTTTTTCTCCCTTAGAAGATTGGCAAGTTGCACGCGCTGAAATGAATTACAAAGAAAATACAAATGAGGTGGTCAATTAATTTTGTTAAATTTATATGTATATATCCGAGTTCAAATAAGCAGATCATTTGTTTATATGTTGCATGTGCACTTGAACTAGTCAATTAAATTTATGGACAAATTCCTTCATATTGTAGTTTTATAGCGGCTTCATACTATACTTTAGACTAACCTTTCTATTAGCGCGCTCATCAGCGCGTTGATTTTGTTGGTAAATGCGCGAGAAATTTGACACAATGACAGGCACAGGAAGAGCGATCACCAACACTCCACATAGTGCACACATGCTTCCCACGACCTTGCCGACCACTGATGAAGGAACCATATCACCGTATCTGGGGGAGCAAAATATGCAAAGGTTGTACTAATTTAACAATTGTCCTATTTCTAATTTCAGTATGCCTTGATTAATAACATAATATTAAATCACGATTAAACTGTAAGTAATACTTCACGTCAACTATTAATAACTTCATTTTATATGTAGCAAATGTCAAGAAACATGCGCATCAAGTTTAAAAATCAATTTCGTTTCATTACATTATACTTCAATAGTCAAAGTAGTTGACCAAAAATACGTTCACTATTTTCTTTTTATTACCATCCGTCTACTAGCTGATATCAACGCAGCAGATGATAATAAAACACAATGCTTAAATGTACTTTCACTATCGCATTATCCAACTGAATCCGAGCTGTAAAATGCTTATGAAACTAAAAATGGACAGTTAGCTGTTATGTCAGCTATCATCAATACAACTATTTGTCCTTCTTTTACAAAATTCCAAATCAATAAGACAGATTTCTTGGATCATATTTAGGGATGCCGAAATGTGCAGCTTAGCCATCCGTGCGCTGTGAAACATTTCTTACTCTAACTTACTAGATTCGGCTGTATTTTGAAGTTAGAAATGTACGACATACAGTTATTTTATGTGAACAGTGGGCATATGATTTTACAAGGGATATGACCGGGTGAATATTTCCAAGGAGGCTTATTTCTAACTTGGTAAACCTAAGTGCACATTAGCAGACATATATAGCAAATTAAAAATCGCACAACAAACATAACCAGAAAAATGAAGAGTTTACCTTCTAAGGTTATTAACGCAGGTTTCACGATACGCGATTTCGGTTATTAATTGTTCGCATAAAAATTATTATTCTAAGCAATCGCGTTTCAAATAAGTCTATCGGCTTCAGTTTTAAAACCCGCTTCTTTATTGTTGTCAAACAGTAATACAGTGTAATTTTACTAGCACAAGGAATACAAAGTTGCAGAAGCATTTTCATATATATTGCATTATTTGCGTAGCAATATGCATCTGCTCATTAAAAGTCTGAATGTAACGTCTTTCGTCAATTTTTGTTGTCATAATGAAAAAATAATGTCACAACTTTGTAACGCAAACATAATAACACGCCCGTTATTCCAAAAATGCAAGTTACACCTTAACTCATGACATTTTTACAAGTCGGCTTTGTGCATATATTCAAATTTTCCTAAACTCCTGCTACAATTGGTTTTAATTCCTTTTGTTGCATAGCCCATTCAGCAAAGTTTATCCAACAAGTTTCATTTACATGGAAAAGGGTTGAAGTCAAAAAACGAACATTTATTTTAATTCTTCTATTTTTCGTCAAGTAATAAATCCCTTTTGAGTAAAAATAAATGTCTCACTGCCATTTTGGTTTGACATATACCTCCGAACTACTTTTGCTCTTCAGGCATATTAAATGTGTCCCTTACACAGTATACTATTTTAAAGTTTGCTTATGCGTAGATTTTTGTTAAAATGATTGGTATTTATTTCATGTGACAAGGAGGTTAAATATTTGTAGTGAAGCCATATATTGTATGAAATGCCAGGATTACGGAGGGATGTTACAAAGCAAAATAAATTCATTTCTTGCAAAACGTTTGTCATCTTTATCAGGTAGCAATACTTTAAACTGACTGAATATTTTTATATTTTATAATGGCCCGAACGTTGACCTGACTGTTAGTCGCGTGTTAATCCGATAAAGGCTAATATATCAGTGATATATCATCTGGATATAGGTCAATTTAATATGCAGGTATATATCAAACTCATGCTTGTCGCAACTCGGAAACGCCCGCTGCACATCATTTTTATTCTGATGTAGTGTGTATGCATATCAAATCCTTTTTGTGGTGTTGGAAGTTGTAAATTAATAATGGATCGGGTGGTAGGTACTTTGAGAGCTATACATCAAGTTGGTTTCTATTAATAGAGTTATGGTGTTTGCAAGTATTGTAATGGATGCTTGCAACATATTTATGCGTCGCATTAATAAGCTAGCGGTCTATGTTATCGCTTTAGCCCGACAAGTTTGACTGCTCTTGTAGAGACGTACTACTCCATCTTGATTAAAAGTGTCTTGCATAATATTTTATTTTGATTATAACTGCTCTGATCGTGTTGATATATAATTCAGGTAAATATAGGTAATATTGATAGTGTATATGTTGTAATCAAATTTCTTAAAGCCATCAAAAGTCATTAGTATCTGATTTTACAGCCTTTGTATTCATGAATTTCCATGAATTTTCTCTATTTTAAGTTGGTGCTAAATACTACGCAAGATGAGAGAGCCCATGATGCGTTGACGCTTAAGATGACGAGATACTAACAGATCGTGTACTCGCTAACGTTAATGATGTGCTGTGTGCTTATGTCCTGGACGCCTGCCCGTGGTGACCGTTGGGTGGGAGTTTGTTACACTCTTTTTCTAGCTAAGATCCAGGACAAAATTCCGCATGTAGGTTCACCGAATCATGTCGCTTGGCCCGCTGTTTTTCCGTTGCATACTTTATCCAAGGATTCAGCTTAGGACCCGAATAATTCTCCTGTCTCGGGTGAGTGACCTGGCAGAATCTTAGTCCAACACCTAGCCTTGAACTATACCAAAAATAACAAATCTTTGCTGCATCAGGCGTAGCGCAATGATCTAAGGAAAATGGTCTCCATATATGCTGCATACAGCAAAGTTGATATGCAAAAATATGCTTATGTTGACGCCTGCTTTCTTTCTTCTTCCCTTGCACATTCTCTATCCGTCCCAGTTACACCTAAACCACTTATTCCTTTAATATAGGACGTCAGATCCCAAGCGGTCGCCGGCCAATGCAAATTTATGCCTGCACACAGAACTTTCAAAATTGGGTTCCGGAACGTGCGCTCTTTGCTAGACCTGAAAAAGAGTGAGCGTCAAGAGCGACGCACTGCACTAGTCGCAAAATAACTGCAGCGTTACAGCATCCATATTGCGGCGTTCAGCGAAACCCGGCCCGCCGAGCAAGGTAAGTTCACGAAGCCAGTGCTGCCTATAACTTATACTAGGTAGACAACGCCAGCACAGCCCCAACTGAACAGAAGGTCAGATTTGCAACTCTTGGTCGCCCAAATACCTAGTTGGCGGGTGAACCAAATGGCATCGGCGCGCGAATGATGACCGTACGCTTACGACTCGGATGAGGTAAATGTGCACTTTTATAAACATGTACTGCACAAACATTGATATCCCAATGCCATTCTTGAGCACTTCTACACTCGGATATCCTCCGTGACACTGTGTTTGCCGAGGAGCGTCCGACTATTTCTGCTGGTTTATTTCAACTCTTGCGTTGCGCTTGATGTAGCCGTGTGGATAGATGTCTTTGACCCGCATGGCATTTGTCCAGAGAATGCGAACGGTGACAAGCTGCCTTCAATTTGTGCCACTCACGGCCCGACAATCACGGACACTCGCCTTGCACTGAGTGCGAGTGTGAGAGTAATTTTGACAAACCCACGAAGTGGTCACGCTCACCTGCTGAAATATTTCAAAGTACGTAGGCGTGACATAAGTGAACTTCATATAGCTCGTGTACTGCGTGCAGCTGAGTTTGGCATGGATAACAAATTGGTGCAGAGCTAGATGTACAGAAACTTTCCTAAATTTAACTATGGTAGTCCTGTCGTAAACCGGCATAACTTTCACCTTCTCAATATTGCTAACGTGGCGAAACGTATTTAGCTGAAAAACGCGTTAGATGCACGCCTGTGTGATGTGGTATGCATAGCCAACGTGGGCGACCTGTGACAACGCATTCGTTACCGTGTGGCAGCTGCTGCCCAGAAGACGATTGAGCCGCAAGTGATCCGATTGAGTTGCGGAAAAAAATGCGACAAATGTCGCATTGGTGTCAGAGCAGAATGTAGCATTTGCTGCTCATGTCACACACCCCAGTGACTTAGGGAAGAACCGTCACTTTCGCAAACTTTGATTTTTCAAACACCACAAACATAAGCAATTCTTTGAAACATTGAATGCGGTTATTGGACCTAGGGTGTGGCCACTAAGGACGCCAACAAATGGTATTTCAGGCGCCACCTGCACCCAGACTGCAAACATAATGCAGATTTGGCAATACAAACTTGACTGTTTTTGAACAACCGTTTAATTATTGACTTGCTTTATTTGAACTGCCTTAAGCATACGGTGTAAAAATTAGTCCGGCGGACATATCGACACTTGGTGAGATGCAGAATGCACTTGCTCATTTGCGAACCGTCAAGTGTGTGGGGGTCGACGGGATCTCACATGAAGTATTTAAACATGGCGGACCCATGTTAGAACCTGCACTGAGACACTTGGTGCAGCGATTGTAGATTGAAGAAGGTGTGCCTACTGAGCTAAAGCATTCCCTTTTGCCACGATTGTAAAATTGCAAATATAGCATGCAACGTTGCAGGAATTATCGTGACGTCAATTTGCTGAGTTGTTTGGTCAAGATGATTGCCCGAATACTGCTCAACCACCTCGTCAGTCACATTGTGCCACCGATCATAACGAAAGACCAATATGAATGCTGTTCGGATCGAAGCACAAGTGATATGGTATTTGCGGATCGTCAGTTGTAGGAAAAGTGTAGAGAACGGAACTAGCCGTTTCACTCGCTTTTTGCAGACCTCAGCAAAGCATCCGATACCGCGAAACTCAAAGCGTTTTGGCTTGTGTTGTGTAAGTTGGTTTACCGAGTAATTTTATAAGTTTATTCGGATGTCTGCTGGTGAGGGTGCAGCCGAGCGGACAGACCTCAAATCACTTTGCAGTTGACTCCGGAGTGAAGCAAGGTGGTGTCTGCTCCTGGGAGGTTTAAGAATTATCCTAATACCATTGTGTCTTGTGCTTTTAATACTGCGTGTTGTGTTCGAATGGGCACCCTATTGGTGATTGGTTGCTGCACATCTGTCATTCCGGTGCGAGGACCTTAGTCTGTAAGAATATTATGCCTAAATTCTGTTTGCTGACAACTGTGCATATTTGCG